AAAAAGCAGGAATTGCTTTCAATGTGTTGGACATTGATTATAGCTTGGTAGATTCAAAATGTGTAGTAACATTGATTATATTCGGATTCCATCCAATCCAAATCCTCCCTAAAGTGTGGCACTGGTAATTTGCACAGTAACTCCACTGCCCAAAAACCTGATGTATTATAAAAGAGCAGTTAACATTCCTAACTTTGGTTTCAATGATTCCAACCATATCCAAATGAGTTTCTCTGATTAACTTTCTCACCTCTTCCTGTTTTGAAGGCTCATTAAGTCCTCCAATATTCCAACAAGCGAGATTGATCATGAAAGGATGGCTTTGCTGAGTTTAAAGAGCTCAGCCCCTTTTAATTTAGAAAAACATCTCAAGTCAACCCATAAAGACCTCTTCTCCACCATTTCATTCATTGCATAAACAAATTAAGCAAAAAAACATGAATTGCTTTCAATGTGTTGGACAAGATAGTGTGTAGCTGGGTCAGATTCAAAACGCGTAGTAACATTGATTATATTCGGATTTCATCCAATCCAAATCCTCCCTAAAGTGTGGCACTGGTAATTTGCACAGTAACTCCACTGCCCAAAAACCTACTGCACTATAAAGACCAGTTAACATTCCTAACTTTGGTTTCAATGATTCCAACCATATCCAAATGAGTTTCTCTGATTAAATTTCTCACCTCTTCCTGTTTTGAAGGCTCATTAAGTCCTCTAATATTCTAAAAAGCGAGATTGATCATGAAAGGATGGCTTTGCTGAGTTTAAAGAGCTCAGCCTCTACCTTAGACTTCTTCTTTGACTTTTTTGCCTTTGTCCTTTTCTGGGTTATCCACTAATTCTCAGTATCCACTAGGCCATCTCTCTCCACTTCACTAGCTTTAGGATGGGCTGGGCTAATGTCTACAACAATAGACCCTCTGCACATATTTAAATTACCCTTCATTTCATAGAGTTGACTACCTTTGTGTTTCTCAGATAGGCTGGGGGGATTGCTTGTTCCTCAATCACCACAATTTCTTTGCCCCCATTCAAGACATCTGAACTGCTGGCCAGTTGGGAAGAAGGCACAGCGTTACTAGTTTGATCAGGCTCCTCCACCACAATAGTAGTACTCACAATGACTTTCCCTTTTTCAAGTTTACTGGCCTGGAGAGATTGGGGAGCAATCTCTTTTGGCCTATTGTCTACCTGCTTGTGGCAGTTAGACTGAGCATATCCAAATGTCTTACAACTAAGACAAACCTTAAGTTTCCATTGGAACTCAACCCCAATGGAAACCAAAATGGGATTACCACTATCATCATACCTGTCCAACAGCAGGTCAAATGATTCAATAAGGTCACACTTAGCATTAATCTCCACACATACACGTTCGTAGCTAATCCTCTTCCTCGTTGCAGTAAGTGAATCAGCATATTATGGTTTGCCAATCGCACTTGCGATGTAGTTGATACCTTCGTCTGTCCAGTACTGTAGAGGAATATTATGCAGCTTCACCCATACTGGTATCAAAGTGTGGTCTTCTTTTGAGACAGCAACATCAGACTGTCATTTCTTAAGGAAGAGAGGCCTACCATGGACCAGTTTCCAACACTTTTGTTCTTGCCTCCTCATCATCGAATCTAAAGAAAAAGAATTCATGCTCGTTAGCCAGCACCTCCAATAGGCCCATTTTATACCATATCTTATGAGCAATGAATTACACTATCGAGAATGACAATTTTTTCTCTATGAAGTATCCCACAAGATATTTACTCCATAAGGCGCAGCCTTTGCTTGCTACTTCAGCTGGGGGTTGAACAACAACACGATTGTTAACTATTTTGGGTTCATAATAATGCAATTTCATGGCACCTTGCTCAATCCTGCTAGTTTCAGGGTTAGGGCGATTCCTTCCATACTTGAGCATCTGACTCCAAGGGACATTAGTGCCAGATCTGAGCAGAGCAGCGGGGATTTCCCCTGTTTTAACAGTAGATTCAGTATTCTGACTCCTATTGGCTGAAGTGTTCATACCTTCCACACACACAGCAGTGGAAGCAGCATAAGTGGGCAATAACTCCTATTGGACCCTACCATCATGGCTTGTAGTAGAAACGGAGCAGTAATGGCTATTAACTTTACCCATAGTGGACAGATCTACAGGATCCACTGTTGGAGAAGCAGAGACACCCTCGGTTGTGCAAGGATCTTCAGCCCTAGGGTTAGAGACGGGAGAAGGGTCCATTCAAAAGCAAGAAACTATGCTAATGATGGGATTAGAGAGAAAAGGAAGCTGGTTATGATGGGTCATCGAAGGAGGAGAAGTAAGGGAAGGAGTACAGAGCATCACATTCTTGCTGGAAGTCCTTTGCCTCTATTTTGTGTTGGAGTTTTAAATGGATAGTATTAACTTTTCCTTTGATATGGAGAAAAAGGACACCAAGTTGATGTCCCTATTTTTAATGACTTCACATTTTCACATTGACTTTTGAAAATCTAAATGAATAATCAAATAACTGAATCCTCACATACATGTATGACTTTTAATTTCACTATGTCAGGTATTTTTCTAAAATGTACTAGAAGCTTCCATCTGAATCAAGTTTAATTTCTAACAGGATTTATCCATAAACAATAAAGATTTTTAAAGTTATCTAAGGCACTTATTGAACTCTAGCAGAATTGGGGGCAACAAAACGAACCTAATGGGATCATATGGAAAATAGATTTGCAAAATTTTTTGCTTGGTGAATCTCCAATAGAAATTGGAAACTTGTGGCTTCTGAAAAAAAGGTACTAACAGAAAGTGTTATCCAAAAAAATGTTGTATCTTTCTTGCATTGTGTAGCTTTTTCAGAGTGAATAGAAAGCTAATTTCATAACTGTACAATTTGAAAATCAATTAACTATTTTATCCTTGTAATTCTGTTTCTACAATGGCAGTTCTTGTTCTCTTCTCAGTCGGTCCAGTTCTGTTGTTATTTCTTTCATGCTTGGCCTTTTCTTCCCTTTCTTTTTCAGACACCTCTTAGCAAGCTCAACTACATCAAGAATCTCATCCTTTAGATTTTTGTCGGTCAACAAAGTATCTAGAATCTCAAACAGGCGATCTTGTTTCAACAATGTCAAAAAGTTTATAACCAGGCCTTCATCAGAACTACTACTTGAGACGGCCTTTTTTCCGGTTAAGAGCTCAGCAAGAACCACACCAAAGGCATAAACATCACTTTTATCAGTAAACTGGCCAGACCAGAAGTACTTGGGATCTACGTAACCAAAAGTGCCCCCGACCAATGTCGTTAAGTGAGTCCAATGAATGGGTACTGACCTAGAAAGTCCAAAATCAGACACTATAGCCCTGAAATTGTGATGCAATAGCATGTTGCTAGACTTTATGTCTCTATGAAAAATGGCAGTTGAAGCATATGAGTGTAGATAAGCAAGTGCACTGGCGATTTCCCCAGCAATTCACAATCGATTTTCCCACGTCATTGTTGAAACATTTCCGGAATAATGAAGATGTTGTGACAATGTGCCATTGGAGACAAATTCATAAACCAACAATGGAACCTCATACTGCAAACAGCAACCTAACAATTTGACAATATTCCTGTGGTTTACCTGTGAAAGAATGCAAACTTCATTAATGAATCGACCTACTTGACTTTCATCAACTATATTTGATTTCTTGATAGCGACAATTGTTCCATCTGGTAACATTCGTCCGTTTTGAAGAGTCGGTTTTTATTGAACTTTCATTACTATAAGAGATTTTTTGTTGCAATAGGAAGCCCCCATTTCTCTTGAAAAACATCTGCCTCATGTTGAATTTCTTTCTTTGTTTGAGTTTGTGGTACATCAATAGACCAATGACTATTAGAATTAGAGCACCAGAAGAAATTTCCATGGCTGCAAGGGCCAATGAAAGTTTGTTAGTATAGTTCAGTCAAAGTTTGTTAAAGGATGGGAAGATGAGAAGAGAAATTGTATACCTAAAGAAGCAATTTGAGTAAATGGTGACCTTCCTCCATTAGATTTGCATCCAAAATATCCACTTGCATTGTGATAGATCTGATAACCCTGTGGGCAACTGCACATGTAGCTGCCTGGCGTATTGGTGCAAATAGCGTTACTCTGGCATTTGTTGTTTGGGTCTTCACACTCATGATATCTTTTAAGAAGCCCAAAATAGAATGCTAATATTAGAATTCCTCCCAGATTCATAATGAGATAAAATTAATAGCATAAGTTCTCATTAGTATTTGTAAATTTTTTGTTATCTTGTTCATCGCGCTACAACAATGGAAATACTTTATAGAACAAATTTAAGGTAATATGTTATGATCCAATATGTTCACAACAGTAAAGATTTAGTTTGTCATATGTACGTTCATAAATCATCTTTTTTTTACAAGCCAACTTTTAAAGTGCACTCTATCATCGCTTCAAATCAGTTTGTGTCATAGTCAGACATGCCATATTCATTGTGGCTCTGTAGGCATCATCAACAAAGTGCAACTTATAGGCTAGATTATAACACTATACCCATTTATAGTACTAAGGCATTTCAATCTAAGCCTATAGGTCGTTCTTTCTACGGACGAAGTTATGACATACTGTCTCTTTTTCAAACCAAAAAATATAAACCCATGTGTAAGTCACTTTGAAACTAAACTCATTCTTAACCAATGTAGCTTTAGGATCATAACAAAATATTTTACCCACAGAAGACAAAATAAACCTAGTAAAGTATCAAGAAGGCAACGGTTTTTAAGTAGCAAAGAAACTCCACTATGTACAAAATGAATACTATTGTAGTAATTCTAGGAACCTTGTAGTAGTCCTAGGAATTATAACAAAATGAAATTGTAATAGAAAAGCCTATGCATACCGTGGCATCCCTTAGGAAGGTAAGGGCTCCCGTGGTAACCATCCAAACAACCGCACTTATATCCCTTGCCTTGTGTGTTGTCATCACAATAGTTGTGCCGGCTGCATAAAAGGCTTCCTGTTCTCTAAGCTTCATCACAACTGACGTTTCCAATCGACCAACTAAGCACGGTAGGGATAAAGGGGTACATCTCTATTCCTCTCCTGTAACTGGAAAAGTCCTTCTGGGCAACAAAGGCCGCGGTGCATGGGTGAGAGCTCCAAGAATGGTTAAAAGTATTCATGCTGATGATTTGGAGATCAAATGAGGAGATATCGTTTGGGATAGTTGTTTGGCAGCACCCAACACCAGAGCAAGAAAGACCCAAAATTGGTCTTGCAGTATCATTATGACATAAGGACACACACCCACTTGTATAGTTTGCACTTTTAGGGTCAATAATATAGGCGAAAATGTCACATCCTACAGCTACAAACTTATTTTGGGTGTGGGAAAAACTGAATCTCAGGTTCAACTTGTAATTCAAGCCTATAGAATTTGTCCCAGAATCGTTGAAACAGCCGATTGCCATACTTCCACCACCAACACGGATGTAATCGAGGGACAAGTCCAATACAAATAACTCACCGACCAGCCAGGCCCATGACCCATTTGTGCATGTGACTTCAAATTCTTTTTCCATGCAACAGCCTTGTCCGATGCCAAATGGATAAGAAATTGTCATGTGCCCACATTTCTGTTGGCAACCAAGCTTTGCCATCGAGGCTGTTCCCTGTGGTTGAAATAGTAAAGCAATGCTTAATATTTGAAGAACCAGTAATAGTTCGGGTGCCATTTTGGCTAGAAGATAATAATAGGCAACTCTATTCACAGTAGAAGTCCTTGAGAACCAAAGTCACTCAAAGAGTAAATCGCCAATCCCTAAAACATATATTCAACTTGATCATTGGCCAATACCATTACACTTGACATATCACTCCCATCTTCTTTGTGTTGAGATCATGTTATATCCCTAGCTTCCTGTGTGTCCCACTCAACATTTCATCCAAAAAGACTCGCAACTTCTCTGGGAAATTGCTACTTCACTCTTTCATGATTTCATTGTGCAATTTCAGATCCTTTCAAGAGTTTGCCTCACGAAATACCCAGCGCTCATCAATCCTCAAATATGGTTGTCCTGCTCGTATTTTGAATTCAAAAACAACGAAAACGACCCTTGTTAAGGCTGCTTGGCATAGTGCTTTGGAATTTTCGATTGTGCTTAACCTGATGGTAGCAACAAGAAGTAAATGTATTTTTTTTTCTCACTAGCTACCAGCAAGGTACTTAGTAAATTCTGCTATTAAGCAGTTGTTGGAGTCCCTAAATTCCCTTAGAGAATTTTATCTTTCACTGCAAACATATAAATATGTTAAAAGTTTGTTGTTCTCGTAGCCTTATTCTATGACAACGTGCAATCTCTCTCTCTTTCTCCCTCTCTCTCTCTCTCACTCTCATTAGAGATACTTTTTCATGCTGCAAAGTTTTTTTTTTCAGAAGGTAAAATATATTAACAGAAACAAGGGTAATCACCCACAAATGTACAATAAGGACACATAGGATTCAAAACAAACATCAAACCCAAAAGCCTTGACCTCAAAATACAAGTATGTAAGAACATCTCCCACAAACTTGTTAACAAAAGAAAACAATGGTATACAAACAAAGTATGAAACCAATCAAAGAGGCAGTACACAGGGAGTTCCAACAATGCAGTATCTTCACCCAAAACATGCCTGTAGCATTCAAGCAAGCGGCTGGAACATGGGACTGCTACAGATCAATACATCATCTCCAAAAGAAAACTTTCCTGTAGCTTCTAGCAAAAACTGTAGCGGTTGCCACAAAGGAACAAAGTGTCACAAAAGATGGACTAACTACCCATTAAAGATAACATGCTGGTGCTTGCAAATTCATGAAGCCTCCCAGTGCAATGACCAAAAATCGAGAAAAACAGAGAACCACAGAGATGCACAGGAGCACTACAACAGTAGGTAGCAGGCAAAGCAACACTGCAACATAGGGAAACAGACACAACAACCTGTAACAGTGGGTAGCAAACATAGTAACCAATGGGAAGCCAAAGACAGATCATATCAAACAAGCTTCAGGAAGATTCCAATGTTGTAGCAAAATTGCATTATATTGAGTTCGCTTGAATTTCAAAGATATGAGCCTTTCTCTAATGGTTTGCTTGATGGATTGAAGAAGAGAATGTGGGTCTTTGCTCAACGTTTTGAAAATTTTCCCATTCCTCTCAGTCCACAACGAATAGACAGTAATTGAAAGACAGAGCTTTAAAATAGTTGTCTTCATTGATTTTCCTCTCCATTGTTGAGCAGCCGATGAAATTGAGTCAATCCATTGTCTCTGCTGCCACTGCTGGTTGCATAGGAGCATAACACCATTTCAAACCCTGTTTGAGAAATTACATTCAAAAAACAAATAGTTGTGAGTTTCTTCAACTCTCCTACATAGAACACATTGTGGGTCGATCTGAGCTACAAATATTTGAATTATGTCCTTGGTGCTCAGCTTACATCTAATAGCAAGCTAGAGGATGAAGGTCATTCATGGGATAGCTTTACCATACCAAACAAGTTTATCACATTGCATGGTTGGACTTTCACTCCTGATATGTTCCCAAGCAAATTTGGCAAAAAGCTTACCTCTCGCAGTTAAAGTCCACTTTACTGAGTCCTCAGTATCATGGTCAAGAAGGTAGCTTGGCATTGCATTGATGATTTCCTACAGTTGAATGGAAGTACCAATTGTCCAATTTCATTGGTTGTTCAAAATAATTCTGCTAACCTTCGTGTTCCTTGGAATTCCGGATTCTAGCAAGATCCTTGGGTTGCTTCTTCGAAGGAGAGGACCAAGGGGGTGCCAGTTATCTTGCCAAAGGCTAGTAGAGTTCTCATTTCTTACCCTATGGATAATGCATGGCCTGAACAATTCTCTAAGTTTAAGCAAATTTCTCCAATTCCAAGAGCATGCTTGGGTGGCTTTGAGGTCCCAAAGGATTCTGCCTTTGATGTAATAGGCATGAATCCATTGAGTCCATAAATTCTCCTTGTCATTAAAAAGCTACCACAAGTGCCTCATTAGCAGTGCTCGATTCCAGTCCCTCAACCTTTTGATACCAAGCCCTCCTTCTTCTTTAGGTTTACATACCTCTTTCCAAGAGACCTTTGCTCCCGTATGACAAAGATCAAACCCTATCCAAATAAAGGATCTCAGAGTCTATTCAGTTCTGTGAATAACCTTCTGTGGAAGACTCAAATGAGAGGCCTAGAAGATGTGTAAACTCCAGAGAATAGATATGACAAGCTGAACTCTTCCTGCGTATGAAATTGATCGATTGACCCAAGACTTAACTCTTGATTCCACCTTTTCAATAAGACTGGAACAGTGTTGATACTTCAAACCAGACGAAATGAGTGGGACTCCTAAATATTTGATAGGCAAATTTCCTTCTTCAACGCCAAACAAATTCTTTATATGACAAGTAGTATCTTCATTAATTGCACACATGAAGATATTACTCTTTCTTGTATTAACCTGAAGCCCTGAAGCCACACTGAACTGGTCCAAAGAATTCTTAATCACAGAAGCATAGTTCATATCTCCATAGCAAAACAACATCAAGTCATCAGCAAATGAAAGTTGGGCAATCTTGAGAGTTTTACACCTCCAATGGAATCTGAAGCTTGGATTAGAGCTGATGTTGAACTAGACAAGAAGAGATAAACACTTCATTGAAATGACAAAAAGGTAAGGGGACATAGGGTCACCCTGTCTTAAACCCTTCCTACTAGGGAAGTATCCAACAAGCCCACCATTGATGTTCACTGAAAATCTAGCAGAAGTAACACATGCTTGAATCCATCTCCTTATGCTGTGAGGGAAATTAAGAGCCTCCAATGCTTCAAACATAAAAGTCCAATCAAGTGTGTTATAAGCTTTCCTCAAATTCACCTTTAAAGCGCATCTAAGGGACCCTTTATTTTTATGGTAATCCCTCATTAACTCTTGAATGAGTAGAATATTGTCTCCAATCTTTCTTCCATGGACAAAGGCTGCTTAGTTTGGATTTATAAGAATGGGGAGAGCTCCTTTAATCCTGTTAGCAATGATCTTGGATATTGCTTTATACATGACATTGCAACAAGAAATAGGTCTCTAGTCCCCCATACTTGTAGGATTGGAAACCTTGGGTACTAAAGCAATGATGGTACTGTTAAGCTCCTTTAATAATCTTCCAGTTGAGAAAAATTCCTTCACAACAGAAACAATATCCTTCTCTATGATATGCCAAGCCCTTTTAAAAAATACAGCATTGAACCCATCAGGACCTGGGGCTTTTTGGTCATTGAAGGAGCAAAAAACTTTCTTGATTTCCTCCTCAGTGACATCCCTCTCCATATTAGCAGCTTGTTGATCAATAACTCTATTTTGTATAATAGGTTGCAGCATATCCCTACTCTCATTAGTATAGGAGGAACGTCCCACGAGCTTTTGAAAGTAATCCAGAGCCTCAACTTTCACTGCTTGTTCCCCTTCAACCCTGGTACCATCAGCTCTCATAAGAGCCAATATCTTTTTCCTATTCCTTCTATTCGCTATAGTTTTGTGGAAGAAAGATGTATTCTTGTTCCCTTCACTGAGCCATTGGACCCTTGATTTCTGTTTGTAAAATCCCTCCTCAATATTAGCAGCTTGAATGTAACTTGCAAAGAGTTGTTGTTCTTCTTGATTCATGGCAAGGTCACTTAGGTTACCATCTAACATTCTTTGACATCTCTCCAAAGCTTCCTTGGCTCCAACTGTGACTTCCCCAATATTCTTGGACATCCCTTTAAACATTGTCTTGAGAAGCTTTAATTTGTGGCAAACACAATATTGAAAGGTCCCTTGAATTAGCTGTGACCAAATCTGATTCACCACGTCTAAGAAATCCTCTCTCTCAACAAGAAAGTTAAAAAATTTGAAAGGGTTGTTCCTCCTTTCCCCTTGAAGTCCCAAATGCACAACATCAGGACTATGGTCAGAGACTCCAAGTGGTAAAAATTCTGCCATAGCCTGCCGAAAAGTGAGGTTCCACCTTTCATTCACAAGGATTCTATCCAGCTTACGAGCCACACATCCATGTCCACCCCTCTTATTATGCCAAGTAAATTGGATACCTGAGTACCTAAGGTTAATAAGCTCGGAATCCTGTAAACATCTGTCAAATTCTTCCATTGCTGAGTTCATCTGTTCTGCCACCTTTCATTTTCCTGTAAGCTCCTAATAGCATTAAAGTCACTTAACACCACCCAAGGTTCATTTGAGAAGATTCTAGCATCGTAGATAAGATAGCTCCATAATGGTCTTCTTTCTCTATCATCATTAAAGTCATAGACAAAAGAGGCTGTGAATTGCACCCTGCTCTTAAGATGCTTGATCTTGCAATGGACAACTTGGTCAAACTCAGAGATCTTGCTAAGTTCCACATTATCTGGGTTCCACCCAATCCATATCCTTCCAAAGTTGTGACTATCATAGTTTGCTAGACAATTCCAATCTCTAAAGACACCCTGTATGATTCTATTTTTATTTATAGATTTCACCTTTGTTTCAACAAGTCCCAAAATATCAATCTTTTGTTTAGAAATAATTTTCCTAACCTCCCCATGTTTAGAGGTCTCATTAAGACCTCTAATGTTCCAACATGCACAATTCATTGAGGGTGTTGGATTTTTTTGAGCAAGAGGTGCTCAGCCACCTTGGATTTTGAGTCTTTCTTCTTCCCATTCTTCCTTTGTTTGGCATTTGTTGAAGTTGGACTGTGGCTAGTTCCTCCTCCTTATGGACTTCCTCAGTTGCTTTATTTGGTTGATTTGCTTCAGGCTCAAGCTCCGCTCTTAATTCAACCACAATATGCCCCCCTCCTTGTTGAGCT